TCTTCTGTTAGCTGGGATACCTGAAGAATGCTAGCTGTTAGCATTGGCATTTATCCCAATGGCAGTTGTGTGATCCTGTTGCTAATTGTATGAAATGTTTTTGAGTCAACCACATAATTACTGTGGAGCTCAGGGAAATTATGCCACAACAACACTGATTGACTAATGGCACCACAAGAAAAAACAGACGTTTACACTAATGCTTGCTATAGGCTACCAATGCTGAGAATGCAGCGCATACTTACCTTTTAATGAATAATGTTCTAAACCTATGTTAGCATGTTGCTAAGCTAATAACATTGATAAGAACAAAAATACCTATCACAATCATACTGTATATTGGGGCAAAACAGTGCATTTGAATTACATTTCAATGCTGAAGGATTTACATATTATAATGGACATTTCTTGTCTTGAGCTTGTTGGAATGCCTCGAAAGTGAAGCATACATGAAATGCTGCCTTAGAATTTGGCCAAAATGGATATTAAAAGTAATATCCCATGAGCCCTTAAAATGCACTCTAGTTTGGCAGCTAACTACAGTTTGAAACAAAGCTCTTGATTTTTTAAAATACATTTTGTACAAGTTTGTATACACTTCCGTTCAGTAAGATTTCTTTTTAAAGAAATAATACTTTTTTTTTTCAGAAAAGATGCATTAAATTTATTACAGTAAAAAGTGACATTTATAATGTTACAAAGATTTCTATTTCAAATAAATGTTGTTCTTTTGAGCTTTCTATTCATCAAAGAATGCATCATGCTTTTCACAAAAATATGAAGCAGCACAACTGTTTTCAACATTGATAATAATCAGAAATGTGTTTTGAGCAGCAAATCAGCATATTAGAATGATTTCTGAAGGATCATGTGACACTGAAGACTGGAGTAATGATGCTGAAAATTCAACTTTGCATCACAGCAGAAAATTACATAAAACATATTCAAATAGAAAACAGTTTTCACAATATTTCACAATATTACTGTTTTATTTTTCATCAAATAAATTGTCTTGGTGAGCATAAAATCTTACCAACCCCGAAACTTTTGAGGGGTAGTGTAGTGAAAAACATACCATTTTAATTTGTTCATAGTTATGTTTTTTATTAATGTATATTAATTAACATATTTTTTAATGAATACATTTATTTTAATTAAAAATGTTACATATCTCATTCATCCTCTTGCCTACTTTATTTTTTACACATTTGCAAGCAACTGTACTGAATCTCACATGCTGTTCTCAAAATAGCAACATTTTAATTTCAGCATCACACACATAGCAACAGGTTCAATATCCATCCAAGTGTGTGTGTGTGTGTGTGTATGTGTGTGAAATCACGACACTGCTTTTTTTATGATATTGACTTGTGTGATTATACCTGGATTGGGACAAACTCATCACATTCAGCTTGTGAATTCCTGGCCACAATTAGGGAAATTGTAGGAGGTCTGTGATCCTGTGGGTGAGAGTTGAAAGAAGCTTTGGGTCGTTCCACGGGCCATTAGAGGATGATGGGAGCCGGTCAGGTTTGGGCAGGGAGGGAACAGCTCGTCCACTTCCAAATGTGATTACAATGATGCAGCGTGAGCGTGCACATATTCGTATGATGGGATTTAGATCGCCTTCACCTTAAGGGACTAGGCTGGCAGTATGCAATGGCAGTACGTACTTTATTTAGTAGTGATGTGTGCCTCAGAAACGATGTATATGGCAATGTACATTTACAGTAATGGAGACTTTTGTCATCGAGGAACATTGTAGTTGATTTCCATCTAAATAGGGTTGTTGTTTATAGTTCAGACCTCTTTTGTGGTTGTATTTCTTTCGATGGCACATTAAATGAGCTGAAAGTGCAGACTGAAGCATAAAGAAAGCTTTTCCTTCTGTGGTAATTCAGAGAAAATGCACATAGCCCTGCTACACACTGCAAACTTGCCATTTCCTCTGTGCAAAGAAATGCAAGCTTAATCACACACACTCAGATTAAAGTGTGTGTGTGTGTGTGCACGTATATATGTTGCATTTGTGCGTTCATCAGCGCTGCTATGGTGAGAGGTGGGAACAACAGAGACGTACGAATTGTTGCTAGAGAAACCTTCCCATGGGGAAGCACTGAAGAACACACTCCAACAAATACTTGCCCTGTTTATAGACTCGCCCGAAGCCTGATACTGTCTGTCGGGTTTCTATACCTCCATTTACATCAATACTCTCCTCGTTTCTTTTCTTTTGTCATTTAGCTGCAGATTCTCCTCAGCCGTTCTCTCTGGATCCGACTGAATATTTAGGAAATGTGCTGACAGCAGCATCAGACAGAGGAGAGAGGAAGGGTGGGATGGTTTAGAATTTTTCTGGGGTGGTAGAAGGATGCAATAATATCTTTGAGAACACGAAAACTGTGTTTATCTCACACAGATTCTTGTTTTATAAACCATCCGCACACACGCATGCGATTCACACCCACAATCATAAAAATGGTGAACGCTTTTGGGTTTCCATGACCTCCTTTCCTGAGTCGGTCTTTTGTCAGATCCCGCTTTCTCTCTCGCTCTCTGTTTCTCAGTCTAATCCTGAGCTTTGGCCACATTTCTCCTCTGGCTGCATGTGTGTGTCGTTTCGTGTTTTGTGTGTGTGAGTGTGTTTAGAGGGGAGAGCTCAGGCCATCTTGAAAAACTGATATTTGATCCCGTGTGTAAAGGAGAGCAATGAGTCCAGCTAGTTTCACTCCAAACATTATCACTGCTCTCTTTATTCTGTGATGTATGTGCTCACCATTATACACTCGGTGACGGATTTCTTCATATGCCAGGCTGGCATTTTTAATGACATGATGAAAAATGTCAGGACTAGGTGCTGTTTCATGTGTATAATAAACAAAAACATTTTAGTAGTTCATCATCTTGATGTTTATTTGAGAGAAATACAGTAAAAACAGTAATATTGTGAAATATTTTTACGATTAAAAAAAAATCTTTCCTACTTTAATATATTTTAAAATGCAATTTATTCCTGTGATCAAAGCTGAATTTTCAGCATCATTACTCCAGTCTTCAGTGTCACATGATCCTTCAGAAATCATTCTAATACGCTGATTTGCTGCTCAAGAAACATTTCTGATTATTATCAATGTTGAAAACATGTGTGATTCATTTTCTTTCAGGATTCTTTTTTGAAGTTCAATAGTACAACATTTATTTGAGATAGCAATCTAAATATATTTTCCGTCACTTTTGATGAATTTAATACTTTGATACTTTAAAGTATTAATTTCTGTCCAAAGAAATCTTACTTAGTCATGGGGCAACAACAAAAAGGGGTTTTCAAGCATCAAAACAATACAAGTTTAATACAGCTTTGAATTTTTTCTGAGCAAACATTTGGACTATTATACATTTTTACCATGCTTTACAGAAAAAATATCATTCGGTGTAACAGTAATTTGTATATCAAAAAATAAAAAAGTCAGGCATATTTAGACCAATAATCATTAGATGACATTAAAAGCTATTTAAGGATCATAGTGCAGCCCCCCAAAAAACGAATTGTAATTTTTAAATCTATCTTTGTCACTATCCTTCAAACCACTAGGTTTTACCCATTTGTCAGGAAGAACTTCAAATAAAAAAATTTAGCATGATCACTTATTCTGTAAGCCTATATATTTACAGGTCAGAATAATTATGTTGTTTAATTTTTACATAAATACATCTGCTACACTGAATGACCATGGAACATTATTTTACCTACAGTTTGACATTTTATTTTCATAAAAGAAACATGAAAGTAGACACTATACTTACATTTAATATGCTTTAGATGTATATAAAATAATTACTTTTGTAAATTAAATTTGTTGCGGACACCAAAATGGGACATTTGGCCCTCATATATTATGATTCACTGTGATTTTGTCAAATCACCCAGCACAAGTTGCTTGTTGCTGGAAGCTCGTAGTGTCTGGTTAGGACACAGTATAATATCACAGTACTTTACTGAACATTCATGTTCATGTACTGTGGAATTTTCATGGTACTTCAAAGAATACCATAGTAGATGTTCAAAAAACATGGTATGAGCATAACTGAAGGAGAGAGACATAGATAACACAGTGACTTGTATTCGTACATGTATCTATCTTTATGACTGAATGTTGACTGAGACTTTAGCTTAGCCATGGTTAGCTTAGCTTTGCTTGTAGCTAGCCTTCATATTTTCCCCTCAGCTGTAATATTGAACTGCAGATTTAATCCCAGGCATTACTGTACACAGAGAGAGATTAAACGCCAGCCATGACTGTCACTCATGTGTGCAGGCAGCATGACAGAGCGCAGGTGATTTGAGACACTTTTAGCTAGCGTTAGAAGCAACTGGCAGAGGTAAGCTGCTTTTAAAAAAACGTTTTAATTTGAGTCAGAATACTGGTTTTAAAACAAAATTCTTTCTTTAAGCTCACTTTGCTTCTTGCTGTAGGTATATTGGTCAAAGTATAAGCACTTGAGCCACATGGGGTAAAAATAAATGAATGAATACAAAGCTAAAATAGACTAAACATGAATAATTAATTCTTGCTCCAAACCATAAACTTCTAAAGCAACAAAACCTGCCTTGTTTATATGTTAAATGTTTATTTGTAAATGTGAATTTTCATTTAACAGTTTCACATTATGTGAGGCACCTTTATATATTCATTCATTTGGTTGCCAGTGCCATTGGTAATATGTCAAAAAAAGAAGTTTCTTGCTCAAAAAGTTTCCTCTAAATATTGATATGAAACATCTTGACACGCCTTAACCATCTTTAATTGATCATTTCAGTCAAACTGCATACTGCATCTTAAGAGTCAATAATTATTAGCATAATTCAGAACCTCTGTATAACTTATTTACTTATCCACTTCCCCTTTGCTGTCATTTATTTATTGTTAAATAAGTTCTGTGCGCTGTGGGCCTAGTCATAACTTATGATCTGATCATGTTTGTGTTATCTGTGTGTGTAGGTGCCCTGGACGAGCCGTACAGCAGGACCTGTGTGTGTGTGTGTGTGTGTGTGTCTGCAGCTCAGTGGAATGTTTTCAGATCTCCCCAAGGTGCTGATACTGGGGGCCATCGCCGCCGCCTCTGCCTTTGTGGTCACCATCCTTATCGTCTTGGTGTGTGTGGGGTGTCAGAGGTAAGTGACCACACACACACACACACAGACTGCAAACAGCTTTTACCAATAATGCTAGGGCTGAGAAACAGTTATTCATCATATTCCATATTTAAAAAAAAAAAAAAAAGGTTACACTTTATTTTGTGTGCTTCTAATAGTGTAATTATACAATTATGTACTGAGGAATATTAATTAACAACATGTACTTACTATAGGGTTAGGGTTTGGTTTAGGGTTAGCTGCATGTAATTATGCATAATTTACTGTTATTATCATAGTACATGCAACAAGGACACCGTAAAATAAAGTGTACAAAAATAATAAGAATAATAATAAAATTAAATAATAATAAAAGTATTATTATTATTAATAATAATAATAATAACTAATGAGTCGAATATATAAATAATTACAATAAAATAGAACAACATTTTGACTCTTATGAGCCAGTTCTTCAATGTGAATCAAAAACCTTCAGTTCAACAAGTGTAGTCTGATTCACAAAGGAATCACCCTCATTAAATGACTCTTTTAGTGAATCAAATCACTAAAGAATCATTTACTGATTCGCACAAGTTATTTATTATATTTGGAAATGAACCAAGAGCTATTACTGTGTTACAGTTTTGGCCATAAGTTTACACACTTAAAAAAAAAAGAAAATAAGAAGGATCATAAAAATGGCATTTTGTTGTTTTATTTAGTACTGCCTTAAAATAAACATAGCACATATAGGTATATATATATATATATATATATTTTTTTT